GGGGGGGGGGGGGGGTGGGGGGAAGGGAAGCGGGGTTCTCTTGCTCTCGTCTCCCTCCTCGCGGAGGTTTCGGTGGGGTGGTGGTGTAGTTTGGGGCGTACGGTTCCGGCCGATGAATAGACGGCCCTTGATGCTTTGAAAAGCATGTAGAGTGGTGTGGTGTGTGTCCGTCTTCTTATTTTTCCAAGTAACCAGGGAGAGTTCTGGTCCTGTTCTCAGCAGATGACACAGGTGGCCGCTATGGCCGGCACGGGGGTTTCACACTACGGTTTTCCGGTTCTCTTTTTCCTCGCTTGCCAGTTTTGAATATTGGTGGTGGCGTATCGGCTTGGGAGGTTATAGCGCATGCACTGGTCGAATCCTCCCGGGTTGGGGGGGGGGTGGGGGTGGATCGTTCCGCGTGACACGTATTTTTATTGATTGTAGTCTCGATGAAAGCCCACGACTCGCCCGTACTTGAAGGACATAAGCCGCCCTGGTTGTCTTGCCCTTTCCAGTCAGGGCATAGTCACTCACTTTCCCCAAAGGCTCCGCGGAGCGGAGAGGGTCTTGTCAATACAATCAATACAGACACGCGGTGCTTCAGAGGGGAGACGGTGATGGGGAGGTTGATGGGCACGTTTGTACATGCCGAGGTTGCAGAGAGAGAAAGTATGGCGACGGTGCGTGCGTCCCAAGAGGAGGATGGAAGGGAGGCCGTGAGATGAAAGACATGTTCAGAGGGGGGGAGGGGGAATTCACCGAGAGAGAGACCGAGAGAGAGAGAGAGAGAGAGAGAGAGAGAGAGAGAGAGAGAGAGAGAGACACACACACACACACACATAGAGAGAGGGAGAGAGAGAGCGAGTGAGGATGTGAGTGCGGTGTGTTCGAAGGAGCGAGTAAAAAAAGCTTGGTTGTGTTCTCGAAGGCACGGCGTCTGTGGGAGAGACGTTTGAGGCGCCTCTCCCTGCGGTGGCGTGTCGAACGACGACGGATGGTGATGGTGTGCTGGTGAGAATGCCAAGGCGGCGTCCTGGCCTCTATCGGACTGTGTTCCCGGATTTTGTTGTCAATTTTTGTGTGGAGAAGAAGTTTCCCCTGTCGGTGATTTTGACCTTCAACTGTGCGCGCAGGACAGGTTTCAATTTTGTGGAGGGGCAGGAAGATAAAAACTCTGGTTGTGTTTGGTGCTTGGACCTTCAATTGCACGCCGTGGTGTGGTGCTGGTGACGATACTTTTTGGGGGGGGGGGCGGCTAGAAAAACCAGCTAGCTTCGTAGCGATAGTCACGCTTACTGCTGCAATATAGCTAGTTTAGAGATTTTTCTCGGTAGTTCTAGACTGCACGGTTCGAAACAAACCTACGTTTGAACGTTTGCACACGTGAAGCGTTTTTATTTACTCGGCAGCGGAAGGCGCTCCGTCTATGGATCCACTATCGATCGAGCTGTGGCGTGCAAGGTGGGGGGGGCAGGGGGGGTTCGGAAGAGTTAATTTCCTCGCGCCCACGAATCTAAACTCGTTTCTGGGTTTTGTTGATTTTACTAGCCATCATTCTTGTACATTGTAAGGGAGGGGCGTGTGTCGTTTGTTGTCATGTTTGGTGTGAAAGCAAACATACCGGGCAGGCAAGGTACTGTAGTGTGGTCATGGCCTATCCATGATCGAGGGAGAATCAAATGAAAGCACTGGAAAAAGCAACAATAATAGGCACGACCGTGCGCATGCTCCTGATTCTCTTTGACTTATCCTGTTTCAGCGGAGCACGCAACCAAGACTTTTTGCTCTCTTTTACGGAGCAAGGGGCGAGACCCCGCCCCCAAAATGAGCGAGAGGAAGATGCCAACGCAAAACGAGAAGAGAGAAACCAACCACTGAAAAACATTCAACGTTGGAACGCACGCTCGTTTTCTACCGTGCCGGCCGATGCCGACATGTTAACGTTGGTGAGGGCAGCATGCTCCAGTGCTGTAGTGAACGAAACAACAAGCAAAACCATTTCTTGAGCGCCACAGTAGAGCAGCAGTTGTGAGCATGGCGTAGACACCGAGGGGCTCAATAAGAAGAGTCGCCTCTTCGCAAAAAATCACATGTCAAACCAACCCCCGAGAGGGTAGTGTAACCACCGCGCTACATTAGGTGCATGCTCTCGCCTGCCTATGCACCATTGCTCTTCGATACCTTTCTTTCGCACGCAGTTACTCACAGTTCGGAGACTTTTCCGTACGTGCACCTTCGTTTGGTCGATGTAGACAACTCTACTACGCTTCTCGCTTGGACTGTGTTCTTCTCTCACCGTCTACGCATAAATCTGGCTCACATTATTTTCGTCCGCAAGCAATGCTTTGCTCATGACGTACATTTACGGTCCGCAGCTCCTCCGCCCCTTTTCAACAATGAAGGCCATTGACTAAAACACCACTAAACCGTCCTCCCCCACCCCGAAGACCACAGGGCACAAGCTCCGCTTTAGAGCCCGGAATGCTGTATTACACTCGCCGAGCACACACAAAAAAGCAGTACATACCCTTATCTCCAAACTCAAACCGTCCCATTTTCCTCGCCCAAAATGTGGCTGGTTCCTATTTCCTCGCCCCCGGTGGTCCTCCGTCCTGACATGCAAGGTCTACAGGTATGTGTTACACCCCGCCCCCGAAGGCTACGAATACCCCCTCCCCCCACCCCCCGGTGTTTGCCGTCGGGGTTGGGATTTCGTCGCATGGCAACGACGTTGTAAAACAACCCCCCCCCACGGTGTTTGCCATCGGGATTGGGTTTCGTCCCTTGGCAACGACGTTGTAAAACAAGACAATTCACTTCGTCAACTCGGCAACCAGGTTACCGTTTGTTATTTACCTCTGTTTATTTTTTTGGCGGCAACCATACTGGTGGTCGAGTAGATCATGTTGTGCGGGG